TACAAACACGAAAAGTGCTGAGGATTCATTTGTCTACAATCCACCGTGTTCATTACGCAGCAAAAATTCTTTGAGTACACACTCCAGTGAAGCTAGAACAGAGAGTTCATCCTATACTCAACGCACAGCTGCCACGGAAAGTGAGCTGCAACCAAATACAGAACAGGACGAGAGCAGTTGGTGGCAAGACACAAGTCGACAAATTGATACTACATCGGCCCTTGATTACAACTACAAAGACGAAATGCATTTCAAGCTAAGACATATAGACTCTGGCGAAACCGCTTGGTGGTTGCGAAATGACGAAGATGACACCCTCGCCGATGACAATATTAAGACATTTAACAACGAAGATGATGCAGATGATGTAACTGATGCTGTGCCATCTCTGCCTTCCAATAGTAATAGTGGAGCACATAATCAAACCAAACAAAATTGGTGGACAAGTGAAACCGATGATGAGCACGATCCAGATATAAGTAGATGTAGATCCGCAGAAGCACATTATGAGCCAAGTAGTGCGGCAATAGAAAGTTGGGAGTCCAGACAATATCAAATGCCAAAAAGTCATTGTACTCCAGAGAAGCAATGGTGGAGTGAATCGAGCAATAGTAAAAATACGGCAAGCAACAATACTTCAAAACAAAATGGTGCCATTCAATTGAAAATCTGCCGAATAGAATCTGGAGAGCGGCCTTGGTGGTTAGACGAAGAGTCCGGCAATAATAATGATAATGAAGGTGTTATTGAAGACAATACCACAGTTGAAGCTACTATTAAGTTACCAAAAAAAAGTAACAACAAAAGTAGTAGTAATAGTAAAAGCGTAGAACCTTCAGAAGATGGCTCCAGTAATGCAAACAAAAGTGAACAAGAACATCGCTGGTGGATGTCAGCGCCAACAAAAAAATTACTTAACATAAAACGTGTGGAGTCAGGTGAAAAGGCTTGGTGGCAGCAAGAAGACACAGAGTCTAATAACAATACTGATATCGAAGTGACACATACGCAAACGAAATTTTCCCCTATGAAGCGTAACGATTCTTGTGAAAAGGATTGGTGGCTGGAGAGCAATAATGACATCCCAAGTAATGGTAAACAAAATGGTCAACTACAAATAAGAGAGTCTGATGATGATTCTGATGGGGAAGTAAATCAAAATGGTGGCGACATTGAAGTGCAAAACATAAATACCTACAATGGCAACGACGAAATTGGCAGATATATCGATTCGAATGCGGAACTGAGTAATTCATTTAATTTTGAATACAGTGAACGCCCGCCACCGCTGGGACAATGTGCCAGTCCCGTTGGCCACGAAGAAAACACAACAAATATGCGCCTCTGTAAATTGCCATACGATAACATTCCAATGTCAACAGTTCAATCTAAATCACTGCAACAACAACAACAACAGCAACAACAAGTGTATCAGCAACAACAGTCAACAAACACAAATCCGTATTGCTATTTCAACAACAGCAGCAACAATGGCCACAGTAATGCTAAGCAAGCACAACAACTGCAACAACAACAGCAACGAGAGCTTTTCATATCGCGTCATCAAAGTATCGATGAGCTTTTGGGTGGTTCGTGTAGACCATTGAGTCCACTGTTTTTTGATGGCAACAGCTTTTCAACACTGCCAACAAACCGAAATATGTTTTTAGAGAAGATAACACCCGATCAAGTGATAATACATGATAGCACAGCACAAATGCCGATTATTCAGCGCATGGAGAGGTGAGTATAGGCAGATGTGTTGAATTTGTTGAAAGTTCGCTGAAATGTTTTATTTTTGTTTTTTTTTGTATGCGTTCAGAGATGAATGGGATAATTGCAATGGTGCGACAAATGGACGACCAACGCTTGGAGCCCCACAAATTCCGGTAAGCTTTATTTGCAAACAATATTTTTATTTACTGAAATAATATTTACCTAAAATATTTTAATGACAGTATGAGTAGTTGATTAATAAATCAATATTTATGAGCTCATATTCGTATCAATTAAGATAACGTGATTTCATATATAAGTTAGGAATAAATATAATCAAATTTAGATAGGATATAAATAGAAATTTGAAATAACTATATATTTATTTTTAAAAATATTATTTAATTAAGAAATTTATTTTGTAATAATATGTAGGAATATTATTAGAAAAATAAATGAGTAAGCCGATTTATAGATAACTTCTGATGAACTTCCAACTTGCATTGTTTTGCATAATAGTTTTCTAATACATTTTGTATTAGGTTTATAACTGTATTTATTAATTGATTACATTTAAGAAATCTGACTTCGGATAACAATTTGTACTAACGTTTTATATTGTAATCTATTATGCTATTATGATATTATGATTATTTAATATATTATTATTCTATATGAAAAACTATTTATTTAATTTTCTTATAAGTCAAGACCAATGACTAACTTACCATTATGCTGCATTTCTTGCTTTCAATTGGAAATTTCCATATAAAAGCTGATAAGTTTCTTTGTTTTTGGACATTAAGAAACCTTAAATGGTAACAAAGAAAGTATTCTTCAGCAGGGAATGAAAACCTATCTAATAGAGCTAAACAATAATATTATATCAGCATCTAACAGAAAACCATGTCTACATATTAAAACTCTAAACCACCAAAATTAAATTAATATTTACTACTGATTTTTATTTTTGGATCAAAATTCAAGCAAGAGTTGTATGTGTAATTTCTTCGTGCTTTTCGATGAGCATTGCCTAAAACAATATATTGCATAGCTATAGAATATTGAGTAGGATATTAATGATGATTATATATATGCAATTATAAGTATATCTGTACATAGTATTGAAGAAAGTAGTATAGTAAATGGCATTACAAAAACAAATATTATTAAGTATCACGCATCTCTAGGGTTTTAGGGTTGATAGGTGTTGTTGTCCGAATAAGAGGCTAAGTCAAGTGAGCAAATCAAGCGATCGCCGTTTCAAATGTATTTGAGTTTTTGTTCTAATATTAGGTAATATAAAAAATATCCTTCAATTTTTGTCACTAGACAGTGTCGGTATCTATGCATCTAGCAACATTACTCGAATAATGTCAGACAAATACTTGAGAGATAACATTGCAGGCTACGCTTTTTATGAATGTGGATGTGTTTTTCGTCTATCGTTTATTATTTATTCTTTATTATTTAAAGTTATATAGACTTGAGGGTTTATATCCTCCCCCTTACGGTGAGGATGCTGTAAGTAACGTAGGATGCGGGAGTGATTTGCTTGATAAAGTTCTGGAAAATTTCATGTCAAATATGCAACTCGCTTTTTAATACAGTTTTTTTATATATATTTGTGATTTAACTTCAGCAAATAGATACTCAAATAATAGGAATAATTTACAAAAAAGTACGATAGTTAATGGAGTAGGAGTAACACCGTTTAGTGCTTACAAGAATTATTGAATATAAGTTTAATTATATTATAACGCATATAAACCTGCTGTTTTAAGATTCAGTTTTACAACTATCAAACTAAAATTATGATAGAAGAGTTACGCCAAACAACTCTATATTATTCTCTTCTGTATTGTAGAAGAGTTATTCATTTGTGCCAAATGAATTTGTTGGACTTTAAAAACTTCTCTAATATGAATATGGGGTGACATTCGAAACGGATGTATGACCAGCGCAAGAACTCATTCGATAACATTTTTTTTGGGATTTTAAATTTTCTTACTCTTACCTTTTTATCAAAATATATTTCGTGTCGTAGGACACAAAATATTTAAGTTGAAAATAAAATAAAATTTTTAAATTACATATAATTTAATTGCAAATAATTTCTTTTTAGTAACTGCTATTATAACAATCTTTACTTTGCTTATATAAATTTAACTTTGTTAACAGTCTTCAATGCCTCTTCTACATTATGCCTCTTCTACATTATTGTATATATGTTTATATTTCATATAAAGAAAAAAGTATGTGTTACACAATATAGGCACCTGTTGAATCCGTACTGGAACTGAAGAGTTGAAAAATTACATCAACTTCATTTCATTACGTGTGAATGTGATTTGGCATGAATCGCTTGAGGCGGCATGAAATAGATTTCCCGATATGTGATATGCGTTGAACTTTTGCCAAAACGAACATTTCAAAAATACAAAACATTACCGCTTGCCTCACACTTGCCTCACTCTACTCACTATCGAAGTGCAGGCATTGCAAATTAATACACCCACGTTCACACTGCCATTTAAATGAGCAAAAGTTGGAGTTTAAAATGAAAATTGAGTGAAAATATTGGAACCAAAAAATTCGCTGAGAAATGCGTTTTATTATGTTATAGCAATTGGGTGTTTAGTCATAGCTGCAATACCTTGTAATTCATCAGTAAACAAATTATTCCTCATCTACTTTTAGAAACACAATAATAAAATACTAATTAAAAATATCCAATAAACACTCTTCCCAAGAAAGTAGAATTAGAAGTGCTTCAGCCAAGTGACTAAACTGTCATCAAAGTTATGACAAATGTGTGTGTGACGTCCAAAGTGTTAGTCCTCTCCACTGAGTCTACAAATACCCACTGTGAGTAAATAGTCAAATTCAATCAATAATCTTAACAGCAACTTAGCTTATCAATTTTGTTTTTCTATTTTCAATTTTATTTGTTTATAATTTTCGAGAGTCTTAATCAGTCGATTAATGTCCATTTAGGGTGAATGCACCTCACGTCACCTTTATGCCGTGTTTACATGAAATCGTGTAGGTAAACACAAGGCGCACTTTTTGATGTAATAAAAGTTCTTAAATATTTAAAAAATATTTTAAGAGCGAAGTAATAAAAATGAGTAAACAATTAACACATTAATTTACTTAAAACAAAACAAATAAATTATCTTGAAAATTAATATCTGCACTTGTGGTGGTGGGTGCTTTTCTACTCAAGTTTCAGTGATAACGCAAACCTACGGACTAACTCCTTTCACAAGAATTGTGCAATCGGAAATCTCTGCGAAAAAAATTAGTTGGCGTTGTTGGCGTTTTGAAAACTTTAAAGCCAGCAGAGCTCAACGGAATAATCTGACGAGTATGCAGTTTGCATTAAAAATTACATTTTTTGGGTAAATGATGATATGCACCCTATAGCCAGTAACATAGACAACAGTACAAAAGTGAAAAATGCATCTTAGAAAACAGTTGAATACAAATTTAATTGAGTTCACCTTAAGTAAATTGTGGTAAATACGGATATTTCGGTTGCATAGAATAAGGTTTTCTCTCTCTTTTTAACGTCAATTGATTAAAGCAATAGAGTTTACTTCAGTAGAGATAAGACATTTATAAACAAATCATTTGTTTCGAACTACTAAAGTATTTCAAGTATTACTATGACTTACGAATATCGCCAAAAATTTATTATTAGAAAACATTTACATTTATTGGCGTGATTGTTCAAAAATTATATATGGACAATTGTTCTCTTAATTGTAAGATATTTAAAAAATTTCAGGAAGGAAATTTTATTACTACGCATATTTTTCGCTACTTGAAATGCACTAAAATCAGACAAATGTGAAAACCAAATTACAATTCTAATTGAGAAAGAGATTATTTACTTTAGTTACCATAACTATCCATTAAATGGTTTTGACACGCCTCTTTTCCAGAAGCATCTAGTCGATGTGCATTTACTGTATTATCTTATACCAAGTAAGGTTACTGTTTCTTCAAATTAATTACAATACCTGGGACATGGTTTTCATATACGTTTTCTTCCTCCATTTGGAGGAGCAGGATTTTAAGCAATCTCTTTTACCAAGTGAGGTTACTATTCCTTTATTTTAGCACAATTTCCTGAGACACGATTTTCATAAATGTCGCCTTTCTCCATTTGCCTCTTTAGAGAAGCTCTGCACAGAAACATCCCCTTCCATTCTCACAAATTTTCGCGACATGATTGGAATAGTCAAGTTGCTGCACAGTGTGGCAGAATTAAAATTAGATTATTTAAATTCGGTATTTTTTGAACCAGAATAGATTTATAAATGAAATAAATTTTCTTTTAATATAGTTTTTTTAATGGGCTCTTGTTTAGTATGTTCTTTATGCCAAATTGGCGTATTGATACTTCTCTAAATTTAAGCAGAAACATGATTAACTTTTAGATTTTTTAAATATGTCAAAACCTATAATAGGTAAAAATTGGGATACAAAATATTTATACTACACTGTACATATACAGTGTAGTATAAATACAGTAGTCGTCACCAACTTACACAGAATCAAGGAACCTACAATGAACCTATTTAAGTATTAAACTAGTTTTGTATATACATATACGGTATATATTCTTTCCCACATGCGACCGACTGTAGCACACAGACTTCATTGTTTAATTACTTAATTTTCTAATTATGCAATTAATTGAACACATCAAGGTCTTCACTGCAAGAAAAAAAATTGGCAAACGAAACCACGCTTTGATGTGGTTCACCCATCGAAGCGAAGCTAAATAATCCGCACACAAAGACATCTAAAAAAGTACCTAAAATATTTTTAAAATTATTTTTCAACATTGCTTGCAGTTTCTTCAACGCCGAGCTGTGGGCTTGAATGCTGCTAAATCTGCATAAATTACGATAAGATTTTTAGTTGTGACTAATTTTCAGTAAAAAAATTAAAAAATTGAAAAATTTAAATGAAAAAATTACAACTCAACGCTGACTCACTTTTCACTGTCATTTCTGTATGTCAAGCGACGCAATCCGAATTCGGTATTCCGAGCAGAGAAAAAAAAACGATCTTTGTGGGTGTCTTTGCTTATCGAATTTTGTCGTTCAGTTTAAACCATTTGCACTGCTGCTGCTGTTGTTGTTTTTTTGTTTTTGTTGTTGGTGTTGCTGTTTTGAGTCTATTGTTTCAGGCATTCTTTGTGCCGTGAAGATTGTTTCGTGTGGTTCTTGCAATGGAGCTATGGAGGTATGGAGGCACTGCAATACGACCTGAAGAGGCAGTGCTGCTTGTGGTTAGAAGACCTGATTCGATAGATAAGACGATGCATATTAATTGTAACCTTATAAGTATTAATTCCAAGACTTTTCGATTTTGATGAGAACAACACAAGAATAATTAATGAACATAAATTAATGTTACTGATTCTTATTAAATTGATTAAATAAATATATTTTTATTTAAATGTTAAAAAAGAATTAAAGAACACACAAATTGTAAGAATTTCAAAGAATTTAATTTTAAAAAATATTTAAAAAAATTTAATTTACACATAAAAAAAAACAGAAGTTGAAGAAAAATTCTTGTTAGCAACAGTCACTTAATTTCTGTCCACTTAAATTGTTCTCTTTACCTTTTCGCTAACCTTCCCAATTGTGCTCACATTACACTTTGGCCATATTTTACCTTCCAGCGCATAAAATTTCCGTTTGCAATCTGCCCGCCCTCGAATTATCTTACTGGGAACACTCAACCTAATAAATTCCCTATTATTGTTGGTGTTGTTATTGCACTTAAATCAGTGCAATTATTTTATTAGTTCACTGCCCATTTTCTCCCTGCACCAATCAATTAAATAAATTTATGTCCAGGTGTGTGATGTGCTTCCTTACATTTTCATTAATTCTGCTTTGATCACTGCGTTGCATATACACTACGCCGGCTTCCTTACCAGTTTTTTGTTATTGCTTGCTTCGTCTCTGCTGCTGCATTGTTTATGCTGCTGCTGCTGCCGCTGCCGCTGTTATAATTCTATGCCCGTTTGCCGATGCTTATGCTTGTGCTTAGTCCTCAGTTATGCAATTATCTCTGCCGGCAGATAAATTGCTTCTAGTGTTTTTGCTATTTTTAAAGCAGAAACGTATTTTTGCAAAAGAAAAACAAAAATAATATGAAAATGAAAAAGAAAAAGAAAAGAGAAAAATCCAATAAAACGAAATTAAATAATAACATATTTGGGTGCATACAACCTGTGGCACACGTCAGTCTATTTTTAGAACTCTAATGAACGTTATCACTTCTAAATTTATACCAGATGAAGTACATGCTATGCATATGCATGAGCCCTTCAGAATAATGTCAGTCTGTCAAAATTTTCTTTTAAAAATTTAATGAAACATTGTTTGGTCTTTCTTCCAAATAATTTCTAATTTATGTCTATTTTTTTTAAAATTATTTATATTATTTAACTAAAGAAAAACTATATATGAAAATATTAATGATTATTTCATGACTTATACTAGTTGTTACTGAGTTTTTATTAGAAAATTATCCTAATGAGCACACTTTCTGAAATATATATGATGTAATGTAAAGTGTTAGCAAATTTGTATCAATATTTTTAATATAATATAACAGTCCGAAATAAGAAAGACAGCTATGGGGCTCAATTATGCCTGAGTCCCGCTTTCCGTAGAAATTATTTCCTTCATTAAATTTCTTACCGATATCACCAATGTGTGCATTATAGATACTCAGTAATATAAAATCGATACTCAGCTTATCTACTCCGAAACTAAAGTATCTCTATTAAAATCATTACAGACGTGCATCGTTCTTGGCAGTGTTTAGTATCCTCTGCGCGCCAACCCGATTAGTGTTTCCAGTTGATAGTACAGAGTGCGTACATATTGTCGATCACGATTTTTTCTCTGCTACGTACTGCTTACATTTTTCAATCTCATATAACTTCCATTAAAATTTTTAACCATAATTTTGTTAACGCTTCTAATCTAATCATTTATTTCTTATGACTTAATTATTATCATATGAACCATCCATTCCCGCGGGCATTGCTACCACATTAAACGCAATGCATGCAAGTAGTGCAAGCATCAAAACATATCAACATGCAGAACATAACTTCTTTTATCAACAAACGCGCTCTGCTGCTGCTATCTGCTATTTACGTTTCCAATAAGCAGCGGCGCACGTTCAAATCAAATAAGTTCCACACACAAAACAAACAAAATAAAGCCAAAACAAAATACTCTCACGTAGCGGTTGGCTCAGTCCACAGGTAAAAATCTTTGAATATGGAAATTAGAAAAATTTTGACTTTGCCACACAACATTTGTGTTTGTGTATTGCATTTGTGCACCACGAGAATTGTTATGCTTCTGCAATTGTTGCAGTTGTTGTTGCTATTGCAGCTTTGCTGCCGCCAATGTATGTCTTCACATGCTGCTTAGTTGTCCCTTCTTGTATTTTCTTAGCTTTCTGTTGTGCTTTTGCTTCAATGCATTGAACGAGGAACGAGGTATAAGCGCTCTGCCAAAACACTGAGTAAGAACCGGTCTTTTGCACCTTAGCACAACTTTGTAGAGATTTTGTTTTTGTTTTCCACATATACCTGCTGTTAGTGTTTTTATTTAGTTTGTTGTTTTTTTCTTTTTTGTGTTTTTTTTGTGTTTTAATATTCATGCTTTGTGGAGCAACACAGCCAGCACTCAACCACTGTAGTTGACTTCCACAAGTTCAGTTGTTTGGCGACTGTTTAAAAGTGTGGATGAGTTTGCGGGTTAGTTTTGTGTGTTGACTTTGGCAACAAATTCATTTTTGATTATTTTTGCTTGTGTGTACGGCAGATATAACGTGTTAAAGTATTATATTTGCAAATATTTAATACTCATTTTTTTGCGATTATATTCAAAGTGCTTTGTTTCTAAATTATCTTTTTACTGTTCACAATAGTAAAACAAAAACTAAATAAAGTACAAAAAATGTTAATTACTTTTTTTCGGCTTAAATTTCGTTGCTAAAATTTAAAAGTTTTGTTTTGTGTTTTTTGCTTGGCATTCGTACACCAACACAAGTGTAAGGCGTCAAGTGGTTGAAGACTTACGTTACCACGTAACTGCAGAAATTATACCAAAAGTAAACAAAGGAAAGACAGAAGTGGTTGGTTGCTGACTGTGGCTTCTCACCTCACTTAACTAAATTGTAAAAATTTAAAAATGTCTCTCAACGAAAATATTTTAATTTTTTGCTTAATTTAACATATATTTAAACGATATTAAGTGTAAATACGTACAAAGCAAAGTGTTTTATTTAATTTAGTTTAGTACTTTGTGCACAGTTTTACAGTTTCACAGTTTCATACTCGTACGAACTATGTCAGTGTCAATTATTGGAAAAAATTAAGACGTAGCAGAAAAAAAAGTAATAATAAAATAAAATAAAATAAAATAAATTAAATATGTGCAATTGAAGTCATAACGACGGCAGTGTGCTAACGTCTTCACTTTGTATTTGAACAGCTGTCAAGAAGCAAAACTTCACATAAAACAACCAACAACAACAACAGCAACGAAAGTCTACACTGTTACTTGTCTTTTCGGTTTTGTGTTTTTTTTTTGCTGTGGACTGCCCTTACCACAGTTCAGCAACACAGTTAATTGCAAAAACAAACCAAAAAAAAAAAAAACAAAAAAAAACAACAAAAAAGAAAAACAAGAAATGATCAGCTTTTTATAGCAGCCGTCGAAATTATTTAAAATATAATAAATTTGTATAAATTATAAAAAATTGCCACTTAAAGTAGAAAATAAAAATCTAGATTGTGCAAATAAAAATCTGCGTGCTTCAATAAATAACAAAGTGAAAAAAAATCGTATAATTTTCACCATTTAACAAAATTGCAGAGCCTCAAGGCGCTTATCTACGCCAATTTTCGTTGTCTTCTGCGAACTGTTTAAAGTGCGAAATAGGTAAATAATTTTTTTTTTTATCTACAGAAATTAATTTTATTGTGCCACTTTTTTCCACAAAACTTGTTGCCATAATTCAGAAAACTATAAACTGTTTTGATTTTGATTTGGATTTTGAATTTCAATATTAGAAAGTGAAAAGATGAAACACGAAGTTAAGATCTCAAAATCTAGCTCATCTGAGATGAATACGCAGACGATGTGAATGAAGAAAGACTCAACCAGACATTTACATTTAATGGCTTTATCGAAGGTTTTATGTCGCCGGTAGCAATTCACCAGTATTTGCTCAAAATAGAATTAGTACTGAGCTCTTTAAAATTTTTAACATTCTATCCATTTAATGACATTCACTTAATCAGTTAATGAATATAGCAAGGTTTTTGCTATTTTCCTGGAGTAATTCTATACGTTACGTTACAATCAGAAATTGATTTACCTTGAACTAAGAAATATGCTATAATCGATTAATTAAAAGTACGAATTGTTAAGTAAAGTATTCTAAAAACGATTGAATTATTAAAAAAGAGCATTGGTAACACAATTATGAAGCTTCTTACCATGTTGTTGTTGTTTTTATAGTCCATGATGTCCCGAAAAACAAACACAAATAAAAATTGTGCTTTTAAACTGTCTATTAAAATAACTTGTAAAGGAAAAATAGCTCTAGTAACCCAAATATGAAACTTCGTGTGATGATGTTGTTGTTTTTTTAGCCCATGAGGTCTTCAAACATAAATACATAAGAAAATAGTGATCTGGTACCCCAAATATCAAGTTTCTCAACATGTTGTTATTGTTTTTGTAGCTTATGCTGTAAAATAGCTAGCAAAGGAAAAATGGCTCTGGTAACCCAAATATGAAGCTTCGTATCATGTTGTAGTTG